AAATTTTTCGAAAACAAGATACAAGGGACTCCCGACATTGTTTCAATTTTTTTCCAAAACAAAACCCCAAGGACTCCTAACATTGCTCCAGATTCTTTCATGTATAAGGTACCAAGGATCTCCAAAATTATTTAAATTTTTATTAAAAGAAGATCGAAGGGACCCCGAGATTGTTTCAAAATTTTTCGAAAACAAGACACACGGGACCCCCGAGATTGTTTCAAATTTTTTCCAAAATAAAACACCAAAGACCCTCTACATTTTTTCAAACTTTTTCAAAATATAACACCAAGGGCCTTCAAGATTTTTAAAATTTTTCCAAAAAGAAGATAGAAGGGACCCCGAGATTGTGTCAAAATTGTTCGGAAACAAGACACAAAGAATCTCCGAAATCGTTTCAAATTTTTTCCAAAACAGAACACCAAGGGCCCCCAATATTGCTTCAGATTCTTCCAAAAACAAGGTAAAAAGTACCGCCAAGATTGTTTAGAATTTTTTCAAAAGGAAGTCACAAGGGGTTCCCGAGATAGTTTAAAATTTTTCGAAAAACAACAGAAAAATTTTTCCAAAAAGACGACAGTGGGCTCCCTCGAGATGGTTTCAAATTTTCCCAAAAACAAGACACAAAGGTCTTCCGAGATTATTTCAAATTTTTCCGAAAATGAGACAGAAGGTACCCCCCAAATTATTTAAAAATTTTCCAGAAAGATGACACAAAAGGCCCCCGAGATTGTTTTAAATTTTTCTAAAAGCAAGTCTTGCACGAGATTGTTTTAAAATTTTTCGTGAACAAGATACAAGGAATCTTCAAGACTGTTTCAAATTTTTCCAAAAACAGGACAGAATGGGCCTCCTAGATTGTCTCAAAATTTTTTGAAAAAAAAAACACCAAGGACCTACGAGATTGTTTCAACTTTTTTCCAAAACATCACACCAAGGGCCCCCAACATTGTTTCAGATTCAAAAAGAGTTCCCGAGATAGTTTAAAATTTTTCGAAAAACAACACAGAACAATTTTTCCAAAAAGAAGACAGTAGGGTCCCTCGAGATTGTTTGAATTTTTTCCAAAAACAAGACAGAAGGGCCGCGCGAGATTGAAAGGTTTCCAAAAACAGACACAAAGGGCCCCCGAGATTGTTTCAAATTTTTCTAAAAAAAAGACAGAAGGGTCGCACTAGATTGTTTCAAATTTTTCTAAAAACAAAAGAGAAGACTCGCAAGAGATTGTTTCAAAGGTTTACAAAAACAATATAGTAAAGGCCTTTAGATTTTTTTTCAAATTTTTCCAAGAAAAGACAAGGAATCCCAGAGGTTGTTTCAAAGTTTTTTAAAAACAAGACAAAAAGGGCCCCCAAGATTATTTCAAAATTTTCCCAAAACAGACACAAGGGGTCCCTAAAATTGTTTCAAACTTTTTCCAAAAACACGACAGAACGGGTCTACTAGATTTTCTCAAAATTTTTCGAAAACAAAACACAAAGGACCCTCGAGTTTGCTTCAGTTTTCTTCCAAAACAGCACACCAAAGCCGTCCAATATTACTTCAGATTCTTTTAAAAACAAGGTACCAAAGGCCTTCGAGATTGTTTTAAATTTTCTAAAAAGAAAACAACCAGTTTTCAAGATTGTTTCAAAATTTTCCAAAAGCAAGAAAAAAGGCGGCTCCGAAATTGTTTTAAATTTATCTAAGAGAAGGCAAAAGGGGTTCCAGAGATTGTTTAAAATTTTTGGAAAAACAACAGACATTTTTTTCCAAAAAGAAGACAGTAGGGTCCCTCGAGATTGTTTCAAATTTTTCCAAAAATAAGACGGAAAGGTCTTCCGAGATTGTTTCAAATTTTTCTAAAAACAAGACAGAAGGGTCGCACGAGATAATTTCAAAGGTTTCTAAAAATAAGACAAGACTGGTACGAAATTGTTTCAAAGATTTCCAAAAACAATATAGAAAAGGCCTTGAGATTTTTTCAAATTTTTCCAAAAAAAGACAAGGAATTCCAGAGGTTGTTTCAAACTTTTCTAAAAAAAGGGCCCCGAAATTGTTTCAAATTCTTTCAAAAAGATGACATGAAGATTATTACAAATTTTTCGAAAACAAAATACAAAGGACCCTCGAGATTGTTTCAATGTTATACCAAAACAGCAGATCAAACGCCCCCAACATTCCTTCAAATTCTTTCAAAAACAAGGTACCAAGTGCTTCCAAAATGATTTAAAATTGTTTCAAAAAGAAGACAAAAGACACTCCGAGATTGTTTCCAAATTTTCCGAAAAGAAGGCACAAGAGATCGTCGAGATGTTTTTTTTTTGCAAAACAAAACACCAAGAGCCCCTAACATTACTTCAAATTCTTTCAAAAAGAAAGTACCAAAGACCTCCAAGATTGTGTAATTTTTTTCCAAATGGAAGACATAAGGGGTTCCCGAGATTGCTTAAAAAATTTTTGAAAAACAACACAGAAGAGGACCCCAAGATTGTTTCAAACTTTTCCAAAAACAGGGCACAAGGGACCCTCGAGATTGTTTCAATTTTTTACCAAAACACCACCCCAAACGCCGTCAAGATTGCTTCTAATTCTTTCAAAAGTAAGGTACCAAGGACTTTTAAAATGTTTTCAAAAAGAAGACAGAAGGAACCGCGAGATTGTTTCAAAATTTTTCGAAAACAAGACATAAGGGACTAGCAAGTTTCAAATTTTTTCCTAAACCAAACACACATTGTTTCAAATTCTTTCAAAATAAGGTACCAAGGGCCTGCAAAATTGTTTATCGAAAGAAGACAACGGAGACTGCGAAATTACTTCAAAATTTTCCAAAAAAAAAAGACAATGGGTACGCCAGCGATAGTTCCAAATTTCTTCCAAGGTCTTCAACATTGCTTCAGATTCTTTCAAAACAAGGTACCAAAGGCCTCCAAGATTGTTTTAATTTTTTTTTTAAGAAGACACAAGGGCTCCAGAGATTGTTTAAAATTTGTCAAAAAAGAAAAATTGTTACAATTTTTTTCAAAAAAAGGACAAGGAATCCCAGAGATTGTTTCAAAGTTTTCCAAAAACAAAACAGAAAGGACCTTGACATTGTTTCAAATTTTTTCAAAAACATGACACTACAGACCCCCAAGATTAATTCAAAATTTTCCCAAAACATGACACCACAGGCCCCCAAGATTATTTAAAATTTTTTCAGAAGCAAGACACAAGGGACCCCTCAAGAATGTTTTAAATTTTTCTAAACAAAATACCAGACGCTGCAAAATCATTTCAAATTCTTTCAAAAACAAGGTTCCAAAGGGCTACTTACAAGGTTATTTAAAATTTTCCCAAAACAAGACAGAAGGTGCCCCGAAATTCTTTCAAAAACATGACACCACAGACCCCCAAGATTATTTTAAAATTTTCTCTAAAACAAAACCCGAGGGATCCCCGAAATTATTTTAAAAAGTCTCAAAAATATAACAGGAAAGACCTCCGAGATTATTTAAATTTTTTTTTAAAACAAGACAACAGGAGCTTCCAAAACAAGATACAATGGGTTCCCGAAATTTTCTCAATTTTTCAAAAACAAGGCAGAAGGGCCCCCTAGGTTTGTTGCAATTTTTCCGAAAACAAGCCCTCGAAATTGCTTAAAATTTTTCCTAAAAGAAGGCACAAGGGGTATCCGATATTGTTTCAAAGTTTTCCAAAAACACTATAAAAAAGGCCTCGGAAATTGTTCCAAATTTTTTCAAAAACAAGACACGAGAGGTCCCCGAATTTGTTTCAAATTGCTTCAAAAACAAGGCAGAAGGGCCTCCAAGTTTGTTTCAAAGTTTTCCGAAAAGAAGACAGAAGGCGCCCCGAAATTGTTTCAAATTCTTTCAAAAACATTACACTACACGCCCCCAAGAGTATTTCAAAATTTTCCCAAAAACTTGACACCACAGGCTTCGAAAATTGTTTCAAATTTTTCCAAAAACAAAACAGAACGGGTCTCCGAAATTGTTTCAAATTTTTCTAAAAACAAGACAAAGGGCTCAAGAAATTGTTTCAAATTCTTTCAAAAACAAAAGACAAGCGAACCCCGAAATTTTTTCAGATTCTTTCAGAAAAATGACTCCACAGCTCCCCGAGAATGTTCCAAATTTTTCCAAAACCAAGACACAAGGGGTTCCCGAAATTGTTTCGAAGTTTCTCAAAAAGAATACAGAAGAGGCCCTCCAGATTGTTTCAAATTTTTTCAAAAACAAGGCAGAAGGGCCCCCCAAGTTTGTATGAAATTTTTCCGAAAACAAGACCTCGAAATTGCTTAAAATTTTTCCAAAAAAAGGCACAGGGGGTATTCGATATTGTTTCAAAGATTTCCAAAAACAATATAGAAAAGTCCTTTGAAATTGTTCCAAATTTTTTCAAAAACAAGACACCAGAAGTTCCCGAAATTGTTTCAAATTCTTTCAAAAACCTGACACTACAGGCCCCCAAGATTATTTCAAAATTTTCCCAAAACATGACACCACAGGCTCTCAAGATTGTTTCAAATTTTCCCAAAAACAAGGCAGAAGGGATCTCCGAGATTGTTTCAAAATTTTCCAAAAATAAAACAAAAATTTTCCCGAAACATGACACCACAGGACCTCAAGATTATTTCAAATTCTTTCAAAAACAAAAGACAAGGAACCTTCGAAATTGTTTAAAATGTTTCCAAAAAATGGCATAAGCGGACCCCGAATTTTTGTCAAATTCTTTCAGAAAAATTACATCACAGGCCCCCGAGATTGTTTCAAATTTTTCCAAACACTAGACTGAAGGGGGTGTCGAGGTTATTTCAAAGTATTACACAAAAACAAGACAGAAGAACCACCGGAGGTTATTTAAAATTTTTCCAAAAGCAAGATTTAATGAGCCCCCGAAATTAAAGTACTCCAAAAAATAAATAAAGCTACTAAAAATTCACATAAATATCGCTTTTTGTATATACCAACATATAAACTTAAAAATACACCTTGGTCACGAAATTTTTCCCTTTCCAGGAACCCCCCTGCAACCCCAAGGCGTGCAGCAAGGACATGGACGAGAAAAACGTGTGCGGCTCCGACGGCCTGACGTATCCGAATCGGTGTCACCTCGAGAAGGTCCGATGTGTCAACAAGAACTTAACCCTGACGAAACGCGGCCCCTGCCGGCAGCAGAAGGCCTGCCGCGACTGGGAGGTCTACAGGCACTCCAACCCCGACTACAAATTCCAGGCGAACTGCCGGCCCGACGGAAGCTACGCTGCCGCTCAATGCCACCCTGACACCGGATTTTGCTGGTGCGTCACCCCACAGGTGAGACATACCGATGGATCAAGTCAGGATTATTTATCGAGACCTGTTCACGGCTCTTTTATTAATTTCTTTGTCGCCGAACAAAGGAAAACAAACAATGGCGGAGGTGTGAATTATTGGCGGAGTTTGTGTCGAACAATGTCGGGTTTGTGCGGTGAAGTCAGACCGCGTGGCGGTTATTAATAGTTTATTTGTTATTAACAAAAAATAAATAGGAGTAAATAGGAGCGCGGATGAAAGAGGGGGTCGAGGTCGCTGGGCTTTGGAAACTTCGGTTGGTAGGGCTGCTCAGCTGTCAGAAAACATACTAATCGTATAATTCGTGTGCACGTCAATGTGACAGCTACATTTAACCTAAAAAAATTGGTCGGAGGTTATTTCGACAGAACTTTCGTCACTGCAAGGAATTCCGCTTCTTTAAAAAATTATAAAATTTGTTCAATTTTTTTTGTTTCTTCTATTTGCCGATTGTTCGATTTTTTGATTTTAAATTTCTCAAGTTTTCAATTGTTAATTTTTCAATTTTTTGATTTTTAATTTGCGAGTCTTGTGTCGCGAGTTTTTGGATTCTTCAATTTTTCATTTCTTCAAATTTTCGATTTGCAATTTTTCGTTTCGGTTTTTTATTTTCTTTATTTTTAGAAATTCCAAAGTTAATTTTTTTTAATTTTCCGTTTCTTCAATTCTTCGATTTGCAATTTTTCAGCTTTTCATTTTTTTGTTTCTTCAATTTAACGATATGAAACTCTTGGAGCTTTCATTTTTAGATTTTGTAATTTTTGATTTGCAGTTTCACGGGTTTTCAATTTTTAATTTTTCAGTTTTCATGTCTTCAATTTTTCTTTTGTTTTTTTTTATTTTTTAATTTTTCAGTTTTTCAATGCTGATTTTATAGGTCTCCTTTTTTTCAATGTGAAATTTTTCAATTTTTCGTTTTTTCAATTTTTCGATTTGCAATTTTCGGATTTACAATTTTTCCAATTTTTAAGTTGCAATATTTCTAGTTTTCATTTTAAATAAGTAATAGTGATTTTTCAAATTTTTCACTTTTCCAATTCTACGATTTTAGTATTTTTCCATTTTTCTTTTATTGGACTTTGGAAATTTTTTGACTCTTCAATTTTCTGTTTTTTTTAATTTTCGATCTGCAATTTTTCATCTTTTCATTTTTTTGTTTTTTCAATTTTACGATATCCAACTCTTCGAATTTCCATTATTAAATTTTTTGGTTTTTTGATTTTCCAACTTTTGGATGTTTCGGTTAGATTTAACAATTTTTCGATTTGCAGTTTCACGAGTTTTTAATTTTTCAATTTTTCTTTTTTCCAGTGTTTTGATTTTTTAATTATTCGGTTTTTCAATTTTAGATTTCATGACTTCAATTTTTGATCTGCAGTTTTTCTAGTTTTCATTTAAAATATGTAATAATTTTTAAAATTTTTGACTTTTTTAATTTTACGATTCTAGAATTTTTCCATTTTTTAATTACTGAATTTTAAAACTATTTCATTTATTCCACTTTTCGATTTTTCGATTTTTAACTTTTTTTTTAGATTTTTCAGTTTTTCATTTCTTCAAATTTTCCATTTGCAATTTTTCGTTCGGTTTTTTATTTTCTTTATTTTTACAATTTTTCAATTTTTCAATGTTCCTATTTTATAATGCCTCGTTTTTTCAATTTCAATTTTTTCAATTTTTCATTTTTTTTGTTTCTTCAATTTTATGACATGCAACTCTTCGAATTTTCATTTTAAATTTTTTGTCATTTTTTTTCAATTTTTCAACTTTGGATGTTTCAATTTTTAGATGTTGCGATTTTGAAATTTCACTACTTTTCAATTTAAAATTTTTCATTATTTCGATTTTTCAATTTTTCTTTTCTTCAATTGTTCAATTTTTCGGTTTTTCAGTGTTCTGATTTTATAATTTTTCCTTTTTTCAAAGTGAAATTTTTCAATTTTTGGATTCCTCAATTTTTTCACAACTTTCGGTTTTTAATTTTTCGTTTCTTCATTTTTTGATTTTTCTGCTTTTCATTTTAAATATGCAACAGTAATTACAGCTTTAAAAATTTTTCACTTTTTCAATTTTTGGATTTTAAAACTCTTTCATTTAGACGATTTTTAGATTTTTCAATTTTTCGATCCTTCAAGTTACAGTTTTTCGACTTGACAATTTTGACAACTCTATAATTTCTCGATTTTACAATTTTTAGATTTTCCAATTTTTAGATTTCATTTGTTTTTTCCTCTTTATATTTTTTCGATTCATTCATTTTTTTCGATTTTACGTTTGTCGATTTTTAGATTTTCAGTTATTTCAATTTTCATATTTTTCACTCTTTATTTAAATTTATAAATAATTTTTTCGGTTTTCCAACTTTTGGATGTTTCAATTTTTAGTTTTTGCAGTTTTTCGATTTGAAATTTCACTAGTTTCCAATTTTAAATTTTTCAATATTTCGATTTCTCAAATTTTTCGTTTCGGTATTTTATTTTCTTTAATTTATCAATTTTTCGGTTTTTCAATGTTCTAATTTTGTCATTTTTCTTTTTTTCAAAGGGAAATTTTTCAATTTTTGGATTTTAAAACGTTTATTTATTCGAATTTTCATATCTTCAGTTTTTCGATTTGAAATTTGTGGTTTCCTTTTTTGTTGTTTTTTTAAATTTTTGAGTTTTTCAGTATTTTTATTTTTTAATTGTTCCAATTTTAGATTTTTTAGTTTCATAATTCTTCAATTTTTCATTTCTTCAATTTTTGATTTGCAATTTTTCCAAATTTTGATTTTTAATATGTAATAATAATTTTTGAAATTTCTAACTTCTTCAATTTTACGATTTTAGAATTTTTCTATTTTTCAATTATTATATTTTAAAATTACATAATTCATTTATTCGATTTTTTCGTTTCTTCAATTTTTGATTTGTAATTTTTCACTTTTTCAAGTTTTGGATTTAAAAATTTTTCTTTGATATGATTTTTAGATTTTTTAATTTTTTGGATTTTGCTAGTTACAGTTTTTCAACTTTACAATTTGACGACTATATTTACTAAATTTCACAATTTTTGGATTTTCCAATTTTTCAATTAGATTTGTTTTCCTTCTTTTTAATTTTTCGATTCAATTTTTTCGATTTTTAGTTTTTTAATGTTCCAATTTTTCGTTTCTTCGATTTGTTAATTTTTCGGTATTCCACTTTTTCCTTTTTGCAATTTTTCATTTTTTCCGATATTTTAGTTTTTCAATTTTTTTCAATTTTACATTTTTTGTTTCTTCAATTTTATTTACAACAAGCAAATTTTCTAATTTTCATTTATAATTTTTTTTCGATTTTCCAACTTGTGGATCTTTAAGTTTTTACATTTTGAAATTTTTCGACTTAAAATTTCACTTGTTTTCAATTTTTATTTTTTTTAATGGTTCGATTTTTCAATGTTTCGATTTTCATTTTTTCGGTTTTTCAGTGTTCTGATATCATAATTTTTTCAATGTGAAAAGTTCCAAGAATTTTTGAATTTTAAAACTTTCGATTATATATACGATTTTTAAATTTTTCAATTTTTCGATCTTTCAAGCTATAGTTTTTCGACTTTACAATTTTGACGACTCTATAATTTCTCGATTTTACAATTTTTGGATTTTACAATTTTTCGATTTTTAGTCTTTGAATGTTCCAATTTTTCGTTTCTTCGATTTATTCATTTTTCGATATTCCACGTTTTCCTTTTTGCAATTTTTCGATTTTTCAATTTTTTCCGATTTTTTAGTTTTTCATTTTTCATTTTTTTTTGTTTCTTCAATGTTACGACATGCAACTCTTGGAATTTTCATTTTTTTTTTTTTTCGATTTTCCAACTTTTTTAGATTTAGCGACTTTTCGATTTGCAATTTCAAGAGGTTTCAATTTTTGATTTATCAATATGTCGATTTTTCAATTTTTCATTTCTTTAATTTTTCGATTTGTAATTTTTTGTTGTTTCGGTTCTTTATATTCTTTATTTTTTAAATTTTTTGGATTTTCAACGTCCTGATTTTATAATCTTTTTTTTTTCAATGTGAAATTTTTAAATTTTTGATTTGTAATTTTCCTAGTTTTCATTTTAAAAATGCGATAGTAATTACATTTTTTAGAATTTTTCACTTTCTTAATATTTGCATTTTAAAACTTTTTCATTTATTCGATTTCTGGAGTTAAAATTTTTCGATTTTTGGATTTTACAATTTTTTGATTCGATTCAGTTTTTTCTCCTCTCCAATTTTTGATTCATTCGTTTCTTTGATTTGTTAATTTTTCCATATTTCACTTTTTCGTTTTTGAAATTTTTCGATTTTTCAATTTTTTCCGATTTGTTAGTTTTTCAGTTTTTCATTTTTGTTGTTTCTTCAATGTTACGACATGCGGAATTTTCTTTTTTTTTTTTCGATTTTCCAACTTTTTTTTTGATGTAGCAATTTTTTGATTTGCAATTTCCCGAGTTTTCAATTTTTCATTTCTTCAATATTTCGATTTGCAATTTTTTGTTTCAGTTTTTTGTTTTTTTATTTTTCCAATTTTTCGATTTTTCAATGTTCTCATTTTATCATTTTTCTTTTTTTCAATGTAAAATTTTTTAATTTTTGTTTTGTAATTTCCCTAGTTTTCATTTTAAATTTGCAATAGTAATTGCAGTTTTTAGAATTTTTCGATTTTTTAATTTTACAACTTTTCGATTCGATTCGGTTTTTTAATTCATTCATTTTTTCGATTTTTAAGTTTCTCAAATTTTAGTTTTTCAATGCTCCAATTTTTTGTTTCTTGTTAATTTTTCGATGTCCCACTTTTTCGTTTTTGAAATTTTTCGATTTTTCAATTTTTTCTGATTTTTTAGTTTTCCAATTTTTTCAATTTTTCACTTTTTGTTGTTTCTTCAATGTTACGACATGCGACTCTGGAAATTGTCTTTTTTTTCTTTTTTTTTTCGATTTTCCAACTTTTTTTTAGATGTAGCAATTTTTT